GGCCCCGCGCGAGTGCTTCCCCGAGGCAGGGGCTTGGGAGGGGGAGTGAGGACGGCGGAGGGAGCGCAGAAATGTCGCAGGAGGAGGGCGAGGAGGAGGTGGAGGAGAGAGAGGAGAGGAGAGGAGAGGAGGGGATCACCCCATCCCCTCCCCCTGGCCACGAAGCGAGTGCGGAGGGGGGGCTTGATGTGTAGGTATGCTCTCGGCCCCCCCCCCGCTCCTCGCCTCCGAGCTGTGTACAGCAGGGCGCCCCGCATTTGAAACGGAATGGCGGAGTGGCTTTTCAACGCAGGGCTTTGGCGCAGCGCCGAGGCTCCACGCTGCCCAAATGAGGCCGCATGATCCGAGGTCGAATGATCGCGCAGCATTCCCCACGCATCGCCAATGCGGCGAGTAAATCGCTCGGGGGGCAGGGGAGTCTGATCGCCCTTCGTCTCTCTCTCTCTTGCTCTCGTTTGCACTCGGCCCCATTTCCTGCCATATTCTCACCCGCCTCCCCCAGCTCCCTCTTCCCCATCTCTTCCCCCGCGCCCGATCCCCGCTCCCTTCAGCTGTCCTCTTTTTTTTTTTGTTTCTCTCTCTCTCTCTCTCTTCATTTGTTCTCTCTGTCTCTCTCTCCCTCTCGCTCGTTCTCGCTCTCCCGCCTTTCTTTGTCTCCCGCTGATCTCCCTCTGCCTCTCGCCATCCCTCCCTCTCCCCCTCTCTTCCACTTCACTCGCCCTTCACTCCCATCCTTCACTCCCACTCCCATCGCCCACTTCACTCCACTCCACTCCCATCCTTCACTCCCACTCCCATCGCCCACTCACTCCCACTCCCGTTCGCCCGTGAGTCCACCACTCCTCTTTCCCTCCACTCTCCTCCTCCCCTCTCGTCAAAGGATGGACGGGCGCAGTAAGGTAAGGGTGGGGGACCGCAGTTTCGATTCTGGGCACCAGGACGGCCAGACCACGGGTGGAGCACCTCAGTGGCGGGAAGTTTGACGAAAGGGTTGGCGACTCGAAAAGTTCGATTCGACGCACGTCTGGTTCTTCTCCTCCTCCCCTCTTGCTGGGGTCAGGAGGCTGCACGACGCAGCGTTTTGTTCGGATGCAAATCCTCGGAGGTCCAATTCTCATTATGCCCTGGTCCGACATCCGATTTCTCCGGTTCAATCCCTCTTACCATCTGCCTAATCCTGTTCAATCTTGCCGAATCCGGCTCCACTCCGCTGAATCCGAGGCCCCTTCCGGCGCAGCAGCACCCCAGTGGGGCTTCTATGCTCTGGAGCCCTTCCGACGAAGACCTCCCAGCAGATGCCTCCTGACATCTGGGAGCGGCCGGGGGGGGAGGCCCCCCCATCCGACGAAGACACCTCCCAGCAGTTGCCTCCCAAAGCACTTGGGAGCGGGCGGGGGGGGGGAGGCGCCCCCCTCCGACGAAGACCTCCCAGCAGTTGCCTCCCAAAGCACTCGGGAGCGGGCGGGGGGGGGAGGCGCCCCCCCCCCGGCGCCGGGGCTGCCTCGAGGGGTGGCGTGACCCACGACCACCGCCTCGGCAGCCGATCCGCGGGGGGCCTCGGCGGGCGGCGGCTCTGGAGGCATCGGGGCCCCTTGGGGGGGGTGGGGGGCCAATATTTCAGGAGGGAAAGAAACACACAGACACAATTAATCGGTGATCCCCAGGGAAATATGGGAAAATATGGGAAGTGGGGGGGAAGACCAAAACCCAGAACATATGGGAAAATATGGGGGATATTTTTATTTGTGTGTATTTATTTGTGTGTTCCAGTTCCCCTTCATAATATTGTCAAGTCGGGCCGATCCCTCTACAGGAGGAAGATTCAAGGACAGTTTAAGAAATGGTTCGGGTACCTTTTTAAAAAATCATCCATCGTGTCCTACAGATGCCTGGAGTATGTGTTAGTTTCCGCCCAGCATCCGCCTTGTAGGGGGCATGCCCGACCTCAAACTATTATTGTTACTCGGCGAGGCATGGTAGTCTGGAGTTGGCCAATGCAATCACGAAGTCATGACTTCAGGTGCGCATGCGGCCAATAACATTACCCCCTAGCGGTGCGAGCGGGAGCCGCAGCTGGATGATGGTTGCGCCCGCATCCGCCGCCTGCCTAGGCCCCCAGAAGCTGAATCCCCCCCGCGATGGTTGTGGACCCAAGCATTCGAAGACGAAGAAGAAGAAGAAGAAGAAGAAGAAGAAACGGCATAAACTTAATTTTTGGGCGCTCCGCGCGGATTTCGTGGGTCCGCGCTGGCCCCCCCCCTCCCCCCGCGGTGCCTCCGGCGCCGACCCTGGCGCGGCTCCGCGTGCCAGGGAGGCCTGATGTGCGGTCCTCAAAAGTCCCGACCCCCGGGTGTTTCCAGACGTGCCCCTGGCCCGAGGTACAGCAGGGGCCCTGAAGAAGGAACCCTTTTCGTTGGGGAGGGGCTCCGTGTTCTTTGATAGTTTCACAGCTTGCCTCAGGTTTTCCCAAGGTCTTCGATGGGGAATCGAAGTTTAACTTACGGGAAAGGAGGGGCCTCGTTCCTTATCTTTGGTTCCTTAGGTCAACGCCCCGACTGTACCCCCAGGACTCCCCAAGGAGGCCCCCACGGCCTCCACAGAGCGACCCTCACAAGGCCCAGGCGGCCCCGAGGCCTCCAGCATGGAGGAACATCCGGGGGCACCTTTGGCCAGGGGCACTTCTAGCATTGAGTCGGGCATGCCTCTCCACAGGAGGAAGATCCAAGAATAGACAAACATAGTCAGGGGACGAGTTTTACAACCATTTTTGCCTATTCTGGAGTATTTGTTGAGCATTTGTTTTCTATTTTTCGTCCAGAATCCGCCTGTAGGATGACGTGCCCGACTTAATTCTAGCAGCACCCGAGGCCCCCTCCCCGGGGCCAGCTCTGCGTCCCGAGTCGTTTTTTTGTCGATGCTCTGCAGGGCCCGGCGACGGCCCCCCCGTGGAGACCGAACACGGCCAAACATCTCCCGACGCAATGCTTTTCACGGCGTGGGCATTGCCTGGGAAGCTGGATCCCCCACTGTGGGGGCCCATGCCAAGAAACACCCCGCTTGCCTCCAGGGTGCCTTGGCCCGGCGACGGCCCCCCCTGAAGACCGAACACGGCCAAACGTCTCCCGACGCAATGCTTTTCACGGCGTGGGCATCGCCTGGGAAGCTGGATCCCCTACAGTGGGGGCCCATGCCAAGAAACACCCCGCTTGCCTCCAGGGTGCCCTGGGATTCTTGGGTTCGATGGCTTCGCTATGGAAAGCGGTACGTTTCCACACCAAAAACCAATGGAAGTCCTGGGGTTCCAGGTTTGGGTTTCTTGTGGAGGATTTCTTGTGGATTGACGTCCATTGTATGCTCGCAGACGAAAGACGCCATAAGCATAGACGTTTGGCGCTCCGCGCGGATTTGTTGGATCGGCGCATGGGCCCCTCCGGCGGCGCCTCCTGCGCCGCCCCTGGCGCGCTCTGCGCGCCGGGCGGGGGGGGGGTGCTCCGCAGATCCAAGAAGTCCGCGCGGAGCTTCAGAAGTTTATGTTCATGGCGGTTGTTCTTCCATGAGCAGTGGTTGTGGACAACTTCTCGCCTCGCAGCAGCGGTCACGACCGCTGGCCCTTGGGGTCGTTTTCCGCCCCGGGGCCGTCACCGATAGCGCCGGGGCCCGGCAACGGCCCCGGAGGGCCGAACTCGATGAGACAGCGCCCCGACTGAAACACTCCGATCGTCGGAGGCCCCCAAAGTTGGATCCCCAGCTGGTTGTGGATACATCCCCGCCTCGCATCTGGTAACAAACAACACGCGGCATGAGTATACATAGTCGGAGGTCCGCGCGGGTTTCTTCGGATCTGCGCTGGGGCCCCCTGGCAGTGCCTCTGGCGCAGCCCCTGGCGCGCTCTGCACGCAAGGGAGAGGGGTCCAGAGCCGATCCGAGAAATCCGCACGGAGCTCCTCGAGGGTATGTTTATGTGTGTCTTCTGCCTCCTATATCTAGGACTCCAGATGGGGTCCGAGCAGATGGGGTCAGAGGATCGCGCTGCATCGCCGATGCATCGCCCAAGAAGTGTATGTTTATGTGTGTCTTCTGCCTCCTATGTCTAGGACTCCAGATGGGGTCCGAGCAGATGGGGTCAGAGGATCGCGCTGCATCGCCGATGCATCGCCCAAGCAGCGGCTCGATGTGGAGCCCGATTTTCTCCACGACGACGGCGCCGATGCATCGCCGACGTTGCTGGTGCATCGCCGATGCATCGGCGATGCATCGCTGATGCGGCGCGATCTTTCGACCCCAGCTACTTGGACCGCACTTTAGATGCCTCTAATGTTCATGTAGTTTTGTTCTGCTTCGATGTGAGCAAGTCCTTGCCTCGCAGCTGGGCGTTTCCAAAAAGGCAGGGGGCGGCGGTGATTCGCCGTCTTAGATTCCTCAATCCTGAGGAGCGACACAGGTCTACAGGGGACCTGAGCACACTCCAAGCGGCGCGGAGGCCGATGATTCGCCCCGCCTGAACCCCTCCTCTTGACCTGTGTCTTCCTCGCAGGGCCTGCCCACTTGCGCTCCAAGGGTCGGGGCTGATGGCTGCTCTATCGGGTTTGGGCTCTCGGGCTCCATGTGAGCACATCTGAGGACAGCTCAACCCACCCCCACCCCCGCCAGGGCCCCCACTCCCGACCTGGGGATCCAGGGGGGGTCCTGGCAGGGGGTGGAGGGGAAGTATTTTGGTGCCCAGGAACCCAAAAAAGCACGCCCATCCAGGACCCCCTGGATCACGAGGTCAGGGTTGGGCTTAGGGGGCTCCAGAAACGGCAGGGTCGTTTTTCACCGTGTTCGAAAAAGTGTCTCTCGCGAATTAAAAAAAGTTGAAAACAAAAAAACAGCGACCGGAAACGGCAAAAAAAACGGCACCAGGATTGGAACAAGGACAGATCTGGCCAGAACAACGGCGACGGAGCCGGCAGCAGAAACGGCGGCGCAACCTGCAGCAGAAACGGCAACAAAAACGGAAGCGGTAGCAAAAACGGCTCTGTCGTTTTCGGGGCCCCTTGAGGGGGTGGGGTCCTGGCGGGGGCGGGGGTTGGCCGTGCTGTGCCCAGCGCCCCCGCCTCGCAGCCGGGGAGCATGGCGTGCGCGGCGCCCGTGGACGAGCGCGCCTGGTTTGCCCGCGCGGCGGCTGCTGCCCGCGAGGCCTCGGGGGCCGCGTCGGCCTGCGAGCTGCGGCCGCTGGCGTTCTTCGTCGCGTGGGGCGGCGTCCTCACGCTCGTCTACGAGGGCTCCCAGGGCCAAGGTTGCAGTCGAGACGCTTGCCAGCCACGACTGGAGTCCCACCGGCGTCCAGACCCTGGTTTCCTTCTCCCATGGCTCCTCCTCCGATGCTCGAGGCCCTCCCGGGGAGTCGAAGGAGGGGGCGACGTCCTCGCGCTCATCTGCGAGGGAGTTCCAAGACCCACGTTGGGTCGAATAGCGACAGACGGCATGGGCATAATTCCACTCGGAGCTCCACGAGGATTTCTTGGATCGGCGCTGGGCCCTGGCGCGCCTCCGGCGCCGCCCCTGGCGCGCTCACAAGTCCCACGCAGATGTCTTGGATCGGCGCTGGGCCGAGCGGGGCGGCGCCGCCGCCGCCGCCCCTGGCGCGCCCCGCACGCCAGGGGGGTGGTGCAGCGCAGACCCCAAGAGGTCCACTCCGAATGCCAGACACTTATGCTTTGCAGTTTTTTGTGCCTCCACCCAGGGCCGACGTTAGGGTGGGACAGGCTCAGAGGGGCGTGCGTCGGCCCCCAAGTCTCCGCCTCCGCCTCCGCCTCCTCCTCCTCCTCTTCCTCCTCCGCCTCTACTCCTCTTCCCTCTCCTCCTTCTCTTCCTCCTCCTCTTCCTCCTCCTCCTCCTCCTACCGCACCAGGCACAAGTCAGGCATGGGTGGCTGCATCGCTTTTCAAAGGAAATAGCGAAATATATTGATTGGCAAGTCGCCACACAAGGAATATATGTGTATTCTACTCAAGCCAGAACTATCTTCCATTCCAGTCAAACGAATGGTACTATCCCTTCACAAGCTCCATGTTCTTGTAATGCGCAAACTATTTCGGCGGCGGAACACAACATTATTCTGTCTGCGACTGAATATAGATGGATTCCTGTTTTGCCCGATTACAACAATATTTTTTGCTGCGGTATACAGAAGGCTTCTCTTTGTGGTCGAATACAAAAACATTCCTCCTGTGGCAGACTGCAAAGGGAGCTCTTGCTCGACGGACTGCAACACGGTCTGTTCTAAACCGGAGCACACAAGTATTCATGTTCTGAGCGGGGAGGGGGGGACTATTGAAATCATGGAACAGCAAAAACCATACGCAAAACAACAATTGAACACATAATTGTTGACGTTTCGCGAATCCCCACCAGCCCATCCAGAAACGATGTCCAGAGGAAGTGCCTCGATCAGGGAAGTGGGCAGCACACAGAGGAAGCCATTATGAGACATCTTGGGATATCTTGAGCCATCTTGGAGGTCATTTCTGGCTCTCCCCGGCACTCTTGATCTCAATCAGTGCCCCCCCCCAAGAGGCCAACATGTGGCTAGCACCTTCGTAAAATCCATGATTTGGTATTCTCGCCGAGGCCTCTTGGAGCATCTTGGGTGCCACGCCCCGACTGCCCCCCCATTGACGTTGCCCCTCAGGCTTCCCCGAGCCGCTCGTCGCGCTGAAGGGCGCGCTGGAGGCCGGCGATCTGCCCCTGCGCAAGGATCGGGGACGGAACAGCGGCGCAGACGTCTGTTGTCGGAGCTCCGCGCGAGTTTCCTGGATCGGCGTTGGGGAAGGAGGAGGAGGAGGAGGAGGAGGAGACGGAGGCGGAGGACGAGGAGGAGGAGGAGGAGGAGGAGGAGGAGGAGGAGGAGGAGGAGGAGGAGGAGGAGGAGGAGGAGGAGGAGGAGGAGGAGGAGGAGGAGGCGGGAGGAGGAGGAGGAGGAGGAAGAGGAGGGAGGAGGAGAACACCCCTGGCTGCGCCGCGGGCGCCGTGCCTGGCTCGCTTCTTCGCGCGCCGTTGGGGGCGGGGGGGTGTTGTCCGGCGCCGATCTCGGGAAAACCCTCGCGGACCTCTTTGGGGTGCGCCCCAGGAGAATTTCGGCAGCAAGTTCGGGGGCCGCGACCGGCGTCCCTGGCCCAACGTGTCCTCCCAGCTCGTCTTTCCGTTGGGGGGGGGCCACCTCTGGGGTCCCTTCTGGGTTTCGCGGGGGGGGGCTCCTCCTCATCCTCCTCCTCCTCTTCCTCCTTTCCCTCTTCCTCCTTCTCCTCCCCCTCCTCCTCCTCCTCCCCCTCCTCCTTCTGCCGCTCCTCCTCCTCTTCCTGCTCCTCCTCCGCCCCCCCTTCCTCCGCCTTCTCCGCCTCCTCCTCCTCCTCCTCCTCCTCCTCCTCCTCCTCCTCCTCCTCTTTTCTATCTGTGAGGGGCCTCCCTGGGAAACCCTGGGGAGGCGCGCTGGGCCAGGGACGCCTCCTGTGCCGCCCCCGAGAAGTGGCCGAAGACCACGCTTGGGGCCCTCGCGGACGGCGTCCCCGCGCTGACCTTGGAGCAGCTGGCGTCGCTGCGCGCCCTGTGCCTGGAGCACGGTGCGCCCTTCCAGCACGACGACGCCGAATTAGACTCGGCGCCGCGCACAGGGGGGGTTCAGAGGAGGAACATAATGGGCACATTGTCCACCACCACTGCCACATGTAGGACGGGGGAGGAGGGAGGATGAGGAGGTCCTACTCCTCCTCCTCCTCCTCCTCCTCCTCCTCCTCCTCCTCCTCTTCCTACTCCTCCTCCTCCTCCCCCTCCTCCTCCTCCTCCTCCTCCTCCTCCTCCTCCTCCTCCTCTTCCCTCTCCTACATAGGGTAGTGGTGGGGAAACATCGGCCCATCACTTCCAGCTCGACGACGCCGCACAAGAATCTGTTCCGCGCACAGTGGGGGGATCTGAGGAGGAACAGGTACCCATGCCGCCACCTTGGCGGGTGGGGGGGTGGGGCGGGGGTCGCGGGGGGGGCGGCCCTCCCACGCGGCGTGCCCCCGGAAGGGCCTGGCCTTCGAGGATCGAAGCCGTTGCGGTCTCTTTCTCGGCGGAAGAGGGGGGAATCCCACGGAGGTAAAGCGGGGGCGGCTTCTTCGGCGGAAGTATGAGATGCGCCCCCAAGAGATGGCATCATTCTGGGGTTCAGGATGTCGGGGATCCGCCACGTGTTGAACATAATCAGGAGGAAGGTGCTTCGCCGATGTCGCCAGGGCCCTTGCCGGCCCCGGGGCCGTCAAACAACGATTTGGAAGGCCAATGTTCGTAAGTCGGGCATGCCCCTTTACAGGAGGTGTATTCAAAAATGGTAGAACATAGTTTAGTGACGAGTTGTCCATTACTTTTGGACTGTGTTTGCATACGTTTGACTATGTTTTATGTTTCTTCCAAACTGCGCCTTTCGGAGGGCGTGCCTGGAGCTTCAGGGGCCACGCGTGGGCCAAGCCGAGACATCGGAGGCCTGGGGCTGCGGCCAGGGCCTTCTGGGAAGGCATCGGTGGGCTCTGAGCCGGCCTGCTCCGAAGAACAACCGGCATGAACAGAACCTTTTTGTCGGTATCGTTCGACCAATGCCCATCCCCAGCCCCATCCCCGTCGAGACCCCCGCTAAATTACCCCCCCCATTGGGGATGCAGCCCTCGATGCCCGAAGGGAACGGACTATATCCCCATCCAGGGGGGTAAATCGGCCAGTGGGGCCGAGGCCACGCCGCTGGGGATGGGGATCGGTTAAACGATACTCAGTTTGGAGTTCTGCGCGGGTTTCTCGGATCTGCGCTGGGCCCCCCTGGCGGCGCCTCCACCGCCGCCCCTGGCGCGCTCCGCGCGCCAGGGAGGGCTGGCTCAGCTCCGATGCGAGAAATCCGCGCGTACCTCCAAACGTTTTTGTTAACCTTCTTCATCCAAGAAGGCAGGGAGGGGGCTCCTCAGAGGATCGGCTGGCCTTAAGACGGCTCGTTGGAGGGCAGGAAGGGCCTCAAGAAGCCCCAGATGCAACTCCTTGGAGGTTAGAATTTCAGCGGCGCTGGTATATCCGTGGTCGAATACCAGCCTGCTCTTCCCTAATCCCGTATCCCGCCTAATCTGGCTTTGTCTCTAATTGGGCTTAATCCCGGGCGTAATCCGGCCGAAATGGGTTTCTGGCGTGATGGGCTCCCCAATCGTGATCAATAGCCCTGACATGGTCTTGCCAAGGCGCCCCAAAAGTTGCTTCCGAACCCATTCCAGCAAATTCTGACTTATTCCCAACCCCACTGGGCCCTGGTACCTCAGCCCCATCAGTCCGACCTACTGGGTGGGGATTGGACCTCCGAAGACCGCGGCATCAGGCATATGGCACATGGTATACGATATACTTGCACATTTCTAGTAGGCATATTCGAATAGCTTGCATCTGCGTTCATCTGCATACGTCGGTGTGTATGTATGTGTGTGCGTATGTAAGCATACCTATATATACATATATATATATATGTATATATACATATATGTGATTGTAAACACGTACCTGTATATAGTTAAGGCAACCGCCAGCCATTGTAGGACATCACAACGTGTGTACACACACATATATATATATATATATGGTCGCCTCCCCTTGTGATCATACATTTCGTCGTCGTCGTCGTCGTCCTCTTCCTCCTCCTCCTCCTCCTCCTCCTTCTCCTCATCTCGGGGGAGGGGAGTAGGGGGGGGAGGAGTAAGCGGAGGAGACGGAGGAGGGTGTCCGCGGGGGCCGAACTGGATACCGAAAAACAAGGAAAAAATGAAACATTTGAAACAGCCTGTGTTTTCACATGGAGAAATAGGAAAAAAGAGCTCCCCCTTCGAGGGCGGGGAGGAGGAAAAACAGTAAAAATGAGAGGAAAAAAAAACGGAGGAAGCGGAGGAGTAAGCGGAGGAGACGGACGAGGGTGTTGTTTCGTTGTTTCTTTTTTCCCCGCCCTCGGAGGAGGAGTTGTTTCCTTTTTGTTCTTTGTGAAAACACAGGTTGTTTCATAGTTTTCATTTTTTTCCTGTTTTTCGCTCCCCCCTGGGGCGGCGTGGAAACCTTGAGGGGCCGAACGGGAGACAGAAACAAGAGGAAAACAAATAACAATTGTACAGAACTTGTGTTTTCATACTCCCCCTTCGAGGGCGGGGAGGAGGAACAAACGTAAAAACACGAGAAACAAGGAGGAAGCGGAGGAGTACGCGGAGGAGACGGAGGAGGTTTTTTTTTATTATTTTTTCCCGTCTCCCCGCCTTCGGAGGAGGAGTTTTTTTTTTAATTGTTTGTTCCATGTGAAACCACCTGTTGTTTCATATGTTTATTGTTTTACATGTTTTTCAGGCCCTGGGGCGGCGGGGACACCCCGAGGGGGCGAACGGGCGAGCGAAAAACAGGAAGACCATGAAAAATATGAAAAAACTTTTGTTTCCACATGGAAAAAAGAAAAACAACTCCGCCTCCGAGGGCGGGGAGGAGGACAACAAGGACAACAACACACCCTCCTCCGTCTCCTCCGCCTAGTCGACTCCTTGACTCAACGTTCCCGCCCGTTTTCTGCCGAATTCCGTTCCTCTTTCTCTCGTTATCTCTCCTCTCTTCTCCTCCCCCTCTCTCTCTCTCTTGACTCTCTCTCTCTCTATATCCTCATCCCTCTCTTGACTCTTTTTCTCTCTCTCTCTCTCTCTCCTCCTCTCCTCTCCCGTTCTCTCTCTCTCCTCCTCCCTCTGTCTCTCTCCTCCCTCTCTTGACTCTCTCTCTCTCTCTCTCCTCCTCCTCCTCCTCTCCTCTCCTCCCATTATATGTACCCCGCCCCGCCACAAAAGGAATCGATATGTAAATCCGCTTCCCCCGTGTCCACCTCCGCCTCCTACTCTTCCTCCTCATCATCATCTTTCTCCTCCTACTCCACACAAGGAATCCATGTGGAGGCCCCTCCACATAAGGGATCGATATGTGAAGGGCCTCCCACATAAGGAATCAATGTGTACAGGCTCCTTCACATAAGGAACTCATCTATGAAGGCCCCTCCCACATAAGGGTTCAACATGTTGGAGGCCCCTCCACACAAGATATCAATATGGAGACCCCTTGCACATAAGGAATCAATATGCGGCGGTCCCTCCACAGACAAACTCAATATGTGGAGGCCCCTCCACATAACGAGTCTATATTCGAAGGCCCATCCACATAAGAAATCCATGTGGAGACCCCTTTGACCTAAGAAATGAATATGTGGAAGTCCTTCCACAGACGAATATCAACATGTGGAGGTCCCTTCCACATATATAAGGAGTCAATATGTGGAGGAATCCCCCCCCACAAGAGGAATCAAAATGCGCGAGGCCCCTTGCACATAAGGAAAACATCTGGGGGAGGCCCCTCCACAAAAGGAAACAAAATCATCTTTCTCCTCCTCATCTTTCTCCTCATACTTCTTCTGCTCCTTCTTCTCCTCAACCCCTGCGCCAGAGCGGGAGGAGGAGGGGGAGGAGCACGAGGAGGAGGAGGAAAAGGAAATGGCCCGCCGCAAAAGAACTCAATTGGTGGAGGTCCCTCCACAGACGGAATCAACATGTGGAGGCCCCTCAACTTAAGGAACCGATAATTTGAAGGCCCATCCACATAAGGAATCAATATGTGCAGACCCTTTCCAACATAAGGAATCAACAAGTGGGAGGACCCTCCACAAAAGAAATCAATATGGAGACCCCTTGCACATAGGGAATCAATATGTGGAGGTCCCTCCACAGACGGAATCAACATGTGGAGGTCCCCTCCACATGAGGAATCAATGTGTGGAGGATCCCCCACAAAAGGAAACAATCTCATTTTTTTCCTCCTCATCTTTCTCCTCCTACTCCTTCTGATCCTTCTTCGCCTCAACCCCTGCGCCGGAGTGAGAGAAGGAGGGGGAGGAGGAGCAGAAGGAGGAGGAGGAAAAGGAGATCGCCCGCCACAGAACGAATCAATATGTGGAGGTCCCTCCACAGACGGAATTAATTTGTGGAGGCCCCTCCACATAAGGAATCGACATGAAAAGGCCCATCCACATAAGGAATCCATATGTGCAGGCCCTTTTACATAAGGAATCATTATGTGAAGGCCCCTTCCACATAAGGAATGAACAAGTTGGAGGCCCCTCCACATAAGAAATCAATATGGAGATCCTTGCTCATAAGGAATCAACATGTGGAGGTCCCTCCACAGACGGAATCAACATGTGGAGATCCCTTCCACATAAGGAAACAATATATGGAGGATCCCCCACAAGAGTAATCAGGCCCTTTCCGCATAAGGATTCAACGAGTGGGAGGCCCCTCCACACAAGATATCATTATGGAAGCCTCTTGCACATATGGAATCATTATGTGGAGGTCCCTCCACAAATGGAATCAATATGTGGAGGCCCCTACACATAAGGAGTCGATGTTTGAAGGCCCTTGGAAAGACGAACATATGCAGAGAAGTCGGATCAGCGATAAACGAGTAGAAGGAACGACAATGATAATGAAGAGTAGGAGGGACAATAAAGAGTAGAAGGAACGAGGGCGGTAAGGAAGCTTGCGAAGGGGAAGAAGATGACGAGGCCCTGTAACGGAGAAGGGTGGGAGGAAGGAGGAGGGACGAGGGGTGAGGGAGGAGGGAGGATCGGGAGGATAACGAATATAATCAAAAGGAGAAGGAACGAATCATAGAAAGAAATGCAGCGGGAAGGAACGACACCGATGCGGACGGAGAGTGGGCAGCATACGAGGGGGAGGGCTGACAAAGAAAGAAGTGGGAAGTAGCGAAGACAAGGCGAATGGAGAAGATGGGAAAGGAGAGGAGGAGGAGGAGGAAGAGGAGGAAAGGGAGGAGGCACAGGGGGAGGAGGTGGATGAGGAGGAGGAGGGAGAGGGGCAGGAGGAAAGGGAGGGGAAGGAGGAGGAGGAGGAGAAGGAGGAGGAGGAGGAGTAGAAGGAAAACAGTAAAGAGAAGAATGGAGGAAGAAGGAGGAGAAAGGATGAGGGGGGATGATGGGGACGGAGATGAGGAGAAGGAGGAGGAGGAGGACGACGACGACCACGACGACGACGACGACGACGACGACGACGACGACGATCACACGAGATATATACATATATATGTATATATATAAACAAATATACGTATGTGTGTATATCTATATACACACCACCACCAGCAGGAATATTCTGCGTGTCTTAGTTGTGCGTATGTGTTTTCATTGTGCCGTTCGTTCTCATTCACAGCAGTTTCCCGCGCGAGGCACAGCTTGTTTCCTTCTTTCGTCCTTCCTCCTACTTCCCAACGCGACGCCGATACGCTTGAGGGTGGGTTCGCGTCGTCATAACAGCCGCTAAGCCGCCATGGCCAAGGCCACTCCAGTGAGGATCGTCGGGCAGGCTAGGACAGGAATCAATTGTTCCGGAGCCTTCTAAAGCTCTCTCAGAGCTTCTTGGAGCCGGATCGGCCGCGGTTCCCGCCACACCTCCAGAGCCGCTGGGTCTCCGAGATCTCCCCGCCTCCTCCCAGTCCAATTTGGTCCCTGCCTTGGCCTCGTCTTCGCCGAGGCCGCACCCGTGGGCACAGGGCTCCGTCCGGCGATGTTCGCTGCCCGTCCGCCCTCTGCGCGCAGCCCGGCAGACTGCAGGGTGGCCGTCCGCGAGCTGGCCGCGGTGCGCTACCGGCGGCGTGGCCTGGAGCCTCCGGTGGAGGCCCTGTCGGGCAGCGCCAACGGGGGGGGGTCGACAATGTATATGTATATATATATATACATATATAGAGATAGATATATCAATACAAGATTGCATTGGCGCTTCGCGCCATGCACCGTGGTCCTTGAAGAGTTTGGCATGCAGGCGGAAGGGCAGGAATGCCAGGCTTACAGTTCAGCGAGAACTCCTCGTCGCCTTTTCCAGCATCGCCGTGCGACTCAATGATGCTGTTCGTTTTCTGTCTTCCATGCTTCTTGTTCCTCATCCTCGCCCTACCCTGCGTATTCTCCCCATCCTCCTCTGCTCTTTTTGCGGAGGCTCCTCCTTGGAGAGCCTCTGGGGGCCTCACGGAAGTTGTTCATGCTTTCTTGAGGCTTTCTGAAGGCCTCTTGGGCGTCTTCTGGGGGTTTTCGGGGACTTCCCCAGACCACTCTGCCTCCAACCGCGGTCTTCTTGAACGACCAGGTCACGATTTGGAATGCTTCGGAGGGTGTCTTGGGGCCATCTTGGGCCGTCTTGGGGCTCTCTTAGGATATCTTGGAACCCTGTTGTGCTGTCTTGAGGCTCTCTTGCACTGCCTGGAAGCTCTTTCGGATGGTTGTGGGGCGGTTTTCGAGCCTCCCAGGCGGCTTCGGACGCCCAGCAGATCGCCGTATTGGAGCGTCGGGAAGCCGACCAGAGGATAACCCCAAAATTCTCCAAAAACCAACAGAACATCAATGAATTTTGGAACTTGGGGCCTTCTTGGTGGGAGTGCTCCTGGAGGCCTCTTGGGACGCGTCGTGGACCGTCGTGGTGCTCTCTGGGGTCGTTTCGGGAGCGCGCCGGGATGCCTGAACCAAATGCGAATCCTGAATAAATTGTAAGGAAGTTCCAAGCGAGAGCTCGATTCCTGAATCAAGTGCGAGGAAGTCTCGGGCGAGAGCGGGGGTCCTGGCTAAATTGTGAGGAAGTCTCAGGCGGGAGCCGTTCTTGTTGTAACCCGGGGGCCAGGGGCGCAGTTTGAGCAGGATGCGAGCGTCGATGGGGCACAATTTGATGGAGAAAAATCAGTATGCACCGGTGGGGGGAATCAGCAATAATTACTCTTCAGAAAATGAAAGTTCAACGACACCACCAACACCAACAGCAACAACAACAAACAAGCAACATCAAGGATCCGCACCCCGGAATCCCACTTCAGCCATGCACCCAGGGACAGTGAATGACCTCTCGGCCCCCTCGCTATGACACGTGCTCGGTTCGCTCCCCAAGCGCTGGGGGAATCCTTCGCCGGCCCCGCGGGCCAGAGACGTGACAAGATCTCCCGTGACTGGATCTGTATCTGCTAGCTCTCTCGCGCGCGGGGCCGGCCCGGGGGGTCCCTGGACGAAAAATACCCCCCCCGGGAACCCCCGGCAAGGTCCCGGCAAATTCCAGGCATACTCGGATCAGATGGTTCAAGCAGTGGCGAAGCGTCCTGGCTCGCCTATGGCCCCACCAAAGAATGTTCTAAGAACCGTTTGTGGTTTCCACGAAATGTTCTTAGAACAGTTCTGGCTGGGACTGTCTTGTGTTAACACATCGGGTTTATGTTCTAAGAACAATGTTTTTGTTCTTAGAATGTTTTTGGGTTCTAAGAACATTTCGTGGTATGACTAAAGGAATGCCGGGACGGTCGGTCCCTGCTCGAATGGTGCTGCTCCCAGGGGCGGTTTTCCGGGCCTGCCAGATCGTTCCAGGAGCGGCCTAAGGAACCTACCTCAAGGCAGTTCCAAGAGGGCCAACGAATCGGAATCTCGGGCCACGAGCGCACCAGGACCCCCCAAAATGGCCCCAAAACGGCCCTCGAGAGGCCCCAACAAAGCCCCGAGAGCGCTCCAAGAGGACCCAAAGAGGGCCAACAGCAATCCAAAAGTATTGATTTTCCCCATTTGTTTTATGTACCTTTCGCGTTCTCGCGTTTTCGGGCTTCCGACGCTACAAGATGGCCCTGGAGGCCCCCAATACCGTTGCAAGACGGCCCGAGAGGCCCCCAATAGGGCACCAAGACGGTCCAAGAGGGCTCCACAACGGCCCCACAGGTGCCCAACAGGGGCCCAAGAGGGGAAACGCGAGCCACCAATTCGAGCCCTACGCCCCAAGAGGCCCCTATGAAAGTTGGAGGCCCTACGAGGCCCCCGAGAGGCCCAAAAAGAGAATCCAAGAGGCTCCCAAGAGGCCACGAACGCGCAGGCAGGCGCCCGCGATGGCACCATAAACGGGCCGGCGGAATGAGCGAGGCGAGTCGATAACATATGCTCGGTCCCCTCCCCAATGGGGGATGCGGAGGATGAGAACGATGAGGAGGATGAGGGAGAGGAGGAGATGAGGACGAGGAGAGGAGGAATATCAGGAGAATGAGGAAGAGGAGGGGGATGAGGATATGGACGATGAGGATGAGGAGGATGAGGAGAGGAGGAAGATCAGGAGAATGAGAAAGATGAGGAGAATGAGGATGAGGACGACGAGGAGGAGGAGGAGGAGGAATATGCACCTCTCGAGGCGTGTGAGGATGAGGGAGATGAGGAGGATGCAGGATGATGAGAGGAACATGGAAGCGGAAGGAGGAGCAGGGAGTAGGATGAGAAGGAGGAGGACGAGGAGGCGGTTGAAGAGGAAGGATGAATGTAGCGATGTGCAACATCAAAGCCTTGGGGGGGGGCCGGTTGGGGGGGGGACATGCAAACATATACACACATGTATATATCTATAAATATATATGCATACACACATATATATATATGCAAACATATGCCTATTCATATGTTTTCATAGTGCCGTGGACCCCAGAAAAAAAAGAAAAAAAAAAAAAAAAAAAAAAAAAAAAAAAAAAAAAAAAAAAAAAAAAAAAAAAAAAAAAAAAAAAAAAAAAAAAAAAAAAAACGCCCCCCCCCGCCCCCAAACGAATTGGGCCCACCCCAGGCTTTTCCAAACGACCCGGGGGAACCCCACGAAAGCCCCAAGACGGCCCCAGTGGGCCCGTTGCAGCCTTTCGTGGCCCCCTCGCTGCCCTTCGTGGCCCCGTTGCAGCCCCTCGTGGCCTCCTCGCTGCCCTTCGTGGCCCCGTTGCAGCCCTTCGTGGCCCCCTCGCTGCCCTTCGTGGCCCCCTCGCTGCCCTTCGTGGCCCCCTCGCTTTGTTTCGTGGCTCGTTGCAACCCTTCGTGGCCCCGTTGCAGCACTTCGTGGCCCCCTCGCTCCCCTTCGTGGCCCCGTTGCAGCCCTTCGTGGCCCCTTCGCTCCCCTTCGTGGCCCCATATCTGTATGCCCTTCGTGGCCCCCGCTCGTTCGCGCCCGTGGTGGCCCCATAATTATGCATGCCCTTCGTGGCCCCGCTGTCGCCCGTCGTGGCCCCTTCGTTGCACTTCGTGGCCCCGTTGCTGCCCTAAGTGGCCCCGTCCTTGCCCTCTGCGGCCCAGCATACGTATGCCCTTCGTGGTCCCCGCTCGTTCGCGCCCGTTGTGACCCCATGAACATGCCCCTCGTGGCCTCGCTGTCGCCGTTTGTGGCCTCCTCACTGTCCTACGTGGCCAAGTTGCTACCCTCAGTCGCCCCATCGTTGCTTTCTGTGGCCCCGCATTGTCTGCCCTTCGTGGCCCCATACGCATTCCCTGCGTGTCCCCGCTGTCGCCCTTCGTGGCCTACTTCGTGTCCTTCGTGGCCCTGCTGTCGTTCTCTCTCGCTCTCGCTTTCGCTCATCGTCGTCGTCGCCGTCGTCGTCGACGTCGTCGTCGTCGTCGTCGGTCCCCTGTCCGTCCCTCTTGGGGTCGGGTCGACGGTTCGCGGCCGCCCCGCCGATCAGCGCTGCCGCTGGCCAGGCCGACGGTCCGCGGCCGCCCCGCCGCTTGCCTGGGCCCGGCCTGCAGGGAACAAAGGTATACCCCCCAAAAGGGGTTCGATCGAAGACGAAGAGGGGGGGGTATCGAGGGTTTGGGAAATACGCGAGCAGATAAGGGCGAACAGTCTTAAACTGGTTGTTGTTGTTGGTGCTGCTGCTGTTCTTGTTGTTGTTGTTGTTGTTGTTGTTGTTGTTGTTGTTGTTGTTGTTGTTGTTGTTGTTGTTGTTGTTGTTGTTGTTGAACTCTCATTTCTGAAGAAGCATTATTGTTGATCCCCCCATCACCGGAGCATGCTGTTTTTTCTTCATCAAAGTGTGCCCCTCGACGCTCGCACCCTGCTTTTCGACGGGGCAAGTCTGGAGGCGCAAACTGGGCCCCAGGTCAGATTCTGCTTCATCCTCCTTGATCCTTCCGACGAAGGCCTCCCAGTACAGTCGGGGCGCTGAAGAAGGAACCCTTCTCGTTTTGGAGGGGCTCCGTGTTCCTTAGTTGTTTCACAGTTTGCCTTCTGTTTTCCATAGGTTTTCGATCGGAAATCGAAGTTTAACTTGTGGAAAAAAGGGGCCTCGTTCCTTGTTTAGGGTTCCTTAGGCCAACGCCCCGACTGTATCCTTTGGGCGTTGGCCGACGCAGGACCGCGTGGCCGTCCCGCTCGGAGCCGCGGCGCCGCCGGACGGCACCGGCGCCAGCGCGCCGGGTGCGCAGGCTCCCCCCGCCGAGGACCGCCACTTTGGCGAGGAGTTGGGGTGGCCGGCGGAGGAGGAGGAGGAGGAGGAGGAGGAGGAGGAGGAGGAGGAGGAGGAGGAGGAGGAGGAGGAGGAGGAGGAGGGGGGGAGGAGGGGGAAGAGGGAGACGGTGTCCGAGCAGATCTCCCGCATCGCCGATGCATCGGCGACAGGGCTCGATGTGGAGCCCGATTTTCTCCGCGCCGGCGCCGCCGATGCTTCGCCCACGTCGCCGGGTCATCGCCGATGCATCCGCGATGCGGCGCGACCGTCCGACCACATCTCTTCGGACCCCACTCTGGGAGGCCTCTGTCGAAGAGGGGGCCCCGAGGGCTCTAACCCTTCCCGCCTCCAGCGTTCGGCGTTCGACCTTGCGCTCCCACCTCCACCCATCGAGGTCCAGACAACACTGGATCAGCACTCCGACACCCAGCCTCCGACATCCGCCTTTCCGCACCACCTCCGCGTCCACCGCTTGTCGGCCAGGACCACTCCTGAGGGCTCCGGCCCCCCCCCCCCCGTGCCGCTCTCCTACGGCTGGTCCCGCTGGACTGGCACCGCGCGTTTCGCTTCGCTTCGCTTCGCTTTGAGGGCCGGGGCCACGATTGGGGTCAACGCTAGAGGGGGACATGCTCAGGGGAGCATGCGTCGGCCCCCTCCAACCCTCAGGGGAGCATGCGTCGGTCTCCTCCTCCTCCTCCTCCTCCTCCTCCTCCTCCTCCTCCTTCTCCTCCTCCTCCTCGCAGCGATGCTTGCGAACTCAGGGCCACTCGTTGGCAGAGATATAAATTCCCAGGAGTTCCAGTTCCCAGTCCCTTTCCTCCTCCCTCTCCTCTCTCTCCTCCTCTTCCTCATCCTCCTCCTCCTAGTCCTCGTCATCCTCCTCGTCCTCCTCCTCCTCCCGCCACCTCCTCCCACCTCCTCCCTCCTCCCACCTCCTCCCACCTCCTCCTCTCCTCCTCCAACTCGCTTCGCGACTGGCGTCACTCACATTCCTCCTCCTCCTCCCTCCTCCTCCTCCTCCTCCTCCTCCTCCTCCTCCTCCTGCCTCCTCCTCCTCCTCCTCCTCCTCTGCCTGCCTCCTCCTCCTCCTTCTCCTCCCTCATCCTCCAGTTCCCACCTCCTGCCTCCTCCTCCTGCTCCCACCACCTCCCACCTGCCTCCTCCCACCTCCCTAGTCCCTCGCTCTCGCTCTTCTGGGGCCGCGTGTGGCCGCCGCGGCACGGCGGCTTGTTCTCGGCGGTTCAGAGACGGGGCTCGCCGGCGCGGGGCGCTCAGTCACGGGGGAACAAGTCGGAAGCTGGCGCGTATACATTACCAGCGGCGGGCTGTCTTTCGATCCCAGGACTCTGTGAGGGGCGGGGACGAAGTCGGGGTGGTGTGGTGTACGCCTTTCTCCCAGTTTGCCCGGGGCCGCAACGAATCACGTATACAACAGGATCCCGTGTACACCTGGATCAAATTTCTTGTGCGAGTTGCAGTGCGGGGCCGGAAGAAGCTTCGGTGTATATATATATATATAGAGAGAGAGAGAGAAAGAACGAGAGAGATAGAGAGAGAGAGAGCGAGAGAGAGAGAGAGATTTCGGTTCTTTATTCAGGATAGGGCCTTAAAGATAGGCTTCTGAGGTTTTCGGGTGCTTTCGTCGATTCTCGGCGGGCTTCCAGCCTCGGAGTGCTCTCCCAGCAGCTGCGTTTCGCCGAGAGCGTCCTGGGCGTGCCCGGCTCGCCCCGTCGCTGGAGGCACGAGGCACGACCCCAGAGCCACGAGGGGATTGGCCTTAAGTCGAGCGTGTCCCCCATACAGGGGGATCTTGGACGAAAAATAGAGAACACCACAGAGCAATCAGACGTTTTCAGAAACGTAAAAATAGTCCCCGGCCTATTTAAACACTGTGTTTGAATGTTCCTCCTGTAGAGGGAGACGCCCGACGTCAGATTGGCCTCGGGGGGTGGGGGTGCGTCGACCCCCAATCGCCCACTGACTGCCGACAGGGGCATATCGCTTCACCCCGTGTTCGTGCGGACTTTTGCCATCTCGGGGCACATCTCGCGGACCCCATCAGCGAAGTATATTCTCGCTTCTCGGACTGGATGTTCCTCCTCCCCCCGAGCCAGCTGTCCCCCCCCTTCCCCCGACGTCCTCCCCCGCGTGAGAGCGAAGGACTGAGAGCAGTGCAGTTTCATACTTGGGGGAACAAGGGAGGAGGGAGAAGAAGAAGGAGGAGGAGGAGGAGCACCAGTGTAAACCCTCCCTCCAAGCTCCCTTTTTACATGCCCAATGACATAGACAAATCAACTCGGAGGTCCGCGCGGATTTCTCGGATCGTGGCTGGGGCCCCCCGGCGGCGCCTCCGGCGCCGCCCCTGGCGCGCTCCGCGCGCCAGGGAGAGGGGGGGGTCCATCACCGATCCGAGCAATCCGCGCGGACCTCCGCGTCTTTCTGTTTATGCCACTGCTTGTTTCCCTGATGCTGGGGCCTCGTCGTGGCCTCAGGGCTCCATCCCTCGGGGCCCCCTCCCGGAGCGGCCGCGAGGAAGCGGCGCGGGTGCGCGGGGTCCTGGCCGGGTGGGGCGACCTCGAGGCCCGGGGGGCGGCGGCGAGCAAGGGGGGGCTGCACTTCCGGAGCCCGCCCGCGGATCGGGGGAGCGCACGCAATGGATTTGAGGCGAGCGGGTTTCACGACTCCAATTCATCGTCGATTCCCCAGAAAATATGGGAAAATATGGGAAGTGGGGGGAAAGACGAAATCCCAAAAAATATGGGAAAGTATGGGGAATCCTGTTATTTGTGTGTATCTATTTGTGTGTCCAAGGGCCCCTTCATCCTTGGCCGACCAGACGACGCCGTGGTGTACAGTTCGGGGGTGGACAGAACCCCCAACAGTGACACGTCGATTAGTGAATTGTCCGTTTTCGGTTCTCGAGATGGCGCCGCGGCCGTTGTTTTCCAGGCTTGCGCCCGCCAGGTTTGGGCCTCAGGTCGTTTTCATTAAACCACGTTTTACTAGAGGGGGGTCTGTTCATCCCCGAACGACGCGCGCCGTCACCAAATCAGGCGGCACGGGCTTCGTGTCTGGAGGGCACCCTCCCCGATGCATGAATCACGGGCCCGCGCGCCAGATCCACAGAGCCCTGATTTTAAGTCCCTGCCGGCGCGTGCCCGAGGGAGAGGGGGCCCCGAAGTTGAGACGGGTTCTGCGGCGCCCTTTCCGTGCGCTCGGCCCCTGGGGGCCGCTCCTCCTCCTCCTTTTCCTCCTCCTCCTCCTCCTCCTCCTCCTCCTCCTCCGCCTCCGCCTCCGCCTCCTCCTCCTCCTCCTCCTCCTCCTCCTCCTCCTCTCCTCCTCCTCCTCCAGGCCGTCCGCAGGAACGACCTGGGATGAGTCGGGGTCGGTAAAGAGGGGGGTGATGATGATGAGGGGCGGGTGGGTATCATGTCGTGGGCCATGGTAATTCCCCAGACTTCACGGCGCCGCTTCTTCTTTCACTGCGTCGCCAGCCCCTCCCTGGGCCGCGCACGTGCCGCCGGTCATGATCTGCACCCCCCCCCTCGTGGACGCCCCCCTCTTGGCCGCCCCCGGATGAAGAGCCGCTCCCGGAGGACAGGCCCGGGGGCCTGGTGCCCGGAACCCGATCCTGCCAGGGCCCGTCTCCGTCACGACTCAGGAGGGAAAGAGCCACACAGACACACAATGAATCCTCGATCCCCAGAAAAAATATGGGAACAATATGGGAAGTGGGGGGAAGACAATAACCAAGGAGGAGGAGGAGGAGGAGGAGGAAAGTATACGAAAAGATTGGGAATCCTGCTATTTGTGTATATTCATGTGTGTGTCCCCCTCAACGACGAAGGACACGGCAGGCGCTCGCCGCGCTGACGCGGCGGCGGCCCCCTCGCGAGCGTTCGGGGCAAAGCGCTGCCTGCCGAGCTGTATCGGCTCGTATCGGGCGAGCTGCGTCGTCGGACTGCCGCGATCGCCCTCGGTCGCACGGCAGGGCCGAACCTAAACTCGGGGGCGGAAAAGAGGGGGGTGATGACTAGGGGGGGGTGGATATCATGGCGAGGGCCATGATCTTTCCCCAAATTTCATGGCGCCTCTTCTTATTATTGCGTCCCTGGCCCCCCCGCTGGGACGCGCACATGCCGCCGGTCATGATTTGCACCCCCCCTCTTAGACACCCCCCTCTTGGCCGCTCCCGATAAACGGTATTGTTGGTGATTTCGAGGGCCGTTTTCGTTTCGATGTCATTTTGCGGTGAAGGCGGATGCGAGGCAGAAGCGGGGGAGAACGAAAACAACACGAAAACGAAATGCACCGTTTGGGTTCAGCCTTGTCGCACGGTCCGCGCGGTGTCAGAAACCCGCACGGAAGCCGTGGTGGCACGCACCTTCTGTCCATGTTTGCACTTCCACTTCGTCTGAGTCGTGCTGCTGGACCTTGGTGGCGCCCTCGGGGATTGGCGGGTTCTGGACGTCTGCTCGCCACGGAAAGTGCGAGAGTATCCATATCTCAGGATGCAACGTTTGGGAGGTTTAATTGAGCATCGGCACTGTCATTTCCGGGATCGAAAACCCGCCTGATCCAGCATAATCTGGCCTTATCCGATTCCACCAGTCCCGCTCAATGCTGAATCCCAGGCCCACTGCAGCCGAATCTCGCTGAATGGTTTTCTAGTCTGGCTTGGTAGCCCCTCATCGTTCTCACGAAGACCTCCCAGAAGTTGCTTCCTAATCGCAGGCTTGAGGTTGACACCAACACCAAGATCAGTGGTGTCCCTCCACCGAGGGAAGAAGATCCCGATCTCGGTGATGGTGGTAATATTCTGGCTTCCAAGGTGACCGAAATGTTGCCACCCTCACCGAAATCTGGGATCATCGTCCCCCTGTGGAGGCAACCCCCCTGTGTTGGTGTTGGTGCCAATTTCCAGGCCTCCAAGGCCTGAGTTCCGGGCGGGGCAGCACTGGCTCAGGAGCTCAGGGGGGCGGACGCCCCGAGCCTCGATCGCCCGCCCCGTCCCCCGTCGCCGCTCGAGCCGTGGGTGGCCCATCCTGCCGAGGCCGGCGCGATTTCGCTCTTTGGGGCCCGACGCCGACCTGTCGGCGACGCCCCGCCGACGCCCGGCCGATTCCCGCCCTCCTGAGCCAGTGCTCTGCACGCACGAAGTGGGTGCTGGAAGAATGGGCACCATGCCCAGCAGCGGATCTTGTTAATTTTGAACAGGGCTCGCTGTCCACGCCGCCGCGGCCTGTGTCCATCCGAGGCAGGAGGCCGCCTGCCCAACAGCGGCCGCTGTTGGTTTGGGACAACATTTGCTGTTGGGCATTGTACCCATTTTTTCGGTACCCATTTCGGGCGTCAAAAATTCGCTCCCCCCCCTTGTCGCCCCCCCGCGGAGGCGTACCTGCCCCTCGTGAACCAGCCCGGCTCGCGGACCTCGGGCGACGCAATGCCACCTGCACATCCGGCAGAGGCCCTGGCCCTGCCAGTCCCAGGCCCAGGATCGCTGTACGCCGCGCAACTGTGCCCTCCTGGCCGAGCAAGGAGGGCGTTCCCGATCCTGCGCCGAGGACTGGACTGGCCAGGAGCAGTGCACGTGCATCGTCGGCACCCTCCAAGGATCGGCTCCTACCGGGACGGCTCCCCCTCCGGCGCCTGCCTGGTCGCTTTCCTGGGCGCTGGCCCCCCACTGCGCGAGGTCCACGGCCAGATTTAGTCACTACCACCGCTAATGTGGGGAGGAGGCGGATGACCTTCCAGGCCTCGACGGCTTCAACGCTGTTTGCCGGGATGCCCGCGGCGCGCTACGGTGTGCTGCGCCTGCAGGGGGGGCGGTGCGAGGCAACGAGAACCGCGCCTTGCGCAGCTACAGAGCTCTCAGTCACACCAATTGGTCCAGCAGCAGCGGAGGAGGAGGAGGCAGAGGAGGAGGAGGAGGAGGAGGAGGAGGAAGCGCGGAGCGCGCGAGTGGCTGACTCAGGCTCGGTGCAGTTGCATGAAGGCGCCTTCGGGTTCTGGCAGGTCGTCCGCCTCCCGTTTTGTACGGCAGGGCTGGGCCTAAACGCTGCTCTGCTCGACTTCGGCTGCGTCTTGTTTTTCGTCTCGGGAGGCACTGGAAACACAAGGGCAGAGCGAGACGAACAGCAAAACGAAAACAAAGCGAACAACGAAGTTTGGGTCCAGGCCTGTTTTGCGGCGTGGCCCCCTCCTGGCCTTGACGTGAGGCCCCTCCTTCTGCCCCCCCTTTGTTGATTCAAGCTGTGCGCGGCCCGCTTAGCTTCGACCGGAAGAGGTGCGCTCTCGACCCGCGGATCAAAAAAACAACTGTTCTGCGGCGTGGCCGCGCCGCGTCGACTCGGCGGCGAACCCAAAAAAAGCGGGCGTTCCGGGCGCGAGAGGCCGCCGGCGGCCCAGGGCGGGCCGAGGTCGAGCGGACTGCGCCAGCGGGGAGACGCTGTGGCTGTCAAGACCGAGCGATCTGCGCGGCGTCAGCCCTCCTCCTCCTCCTCCCTCCTCCTCCCTCCGCCTTCCCCTCCTCCTCCTCCTCCTCCTCCTCCTCCTCCTCCTCCTCCACCTCCCTCCTCCCTCCTCCCTCCTCCTCCTCCTCCTCCTCCTCCTCCTGCTCTTCCTCCTCCTCCTCTTCCTCCTCCTCCTCCTCCTTCGCGAGGCTCGCTGTGGCTGTCAAGACCGAGCGATCTGCGCGGCGCCAGCCGGAGGAACACACACTTGCGCCGCTCACCGAGCGCGGTCCGCTGCTCGCAAAGTGCCCACTCGCAGACGTCCGAAAAGCCACAAACGTCCGCTTGGATGCAGTGCATCGCAGATCCTCTGAGGGGGGATCCAGGCCATTGGCGAGTAGCTTCGGGGGTGGACAGACCTCCTACCCTGACACGTCGATGAAGGAATGGGCCGTTTTCGGTTCGCGAGAGGGCGTCGCGGCCGTCATTTTTGCGGGTCCAGGTCCGTGGGTTTCGGTCCCAGGCCGTTTTCACTGAGGGGAGGTCTACTAAAGGGAGGTTTGTCCACCTCCGATCAAGACCGATCTGCGCGGCGTCAGCCGGAGGAACACACACTTTCGCTCACCGAGCGCGCTCCACTGCTCGGAAAAAGTGCCTACTCGCAGACGTCCGAGAAAAACCACATGTCCGCTTGGATGCAGTGCATCGCAGATCCTCCGGGGGGGATCCAGGCCATCTGCGAGTAGCTTTGAGTAGAGCCTGTCCCCCATACAGGGGGATTTTCGACGAATGATTAAAACATACCCCAAAAATTACCCCCAAAGGGTAAAAAAAAACTAAAACATAGTCCCCAACTATTTTTTGATTATTTTTTGGTATTTCTTATTTTTCGTGGAAAATCCCCCTGTAAGGGACAGGCCCGACTTAAGAGTAGCTGCTTTGCGTGTCGCGGAACGCGCTCGTCTATCAGCATCAATCTCCGGAGCTCCGCGCGGAGTTCCTGGACTGGCGCCGGGGATCCGGGATCCGGGATCCCCCCTCTCTGCCTGGCGATGCGGGGCGCGTCGGGCACGGCGCCCGAGCCGCGTCGCCGGCGGGCCTCGGCGTCCATCCAAGAAGTCTGCGCTGAGCTCCGAGCGGCTCTGCTTCCGCTGTCTCTGCGTCCTCTCGGTCGGAGGTCGGCGCCGGCGTCGTCGCGACGTGAGGCTAGAAATGCGATCTCTCTATCTCTTTGGATAACCAGCCCCTGGAAGTCCCGACCCTCTTCCCAGGGCCCGTCTGCCCTCCCGAGTCGTTTTATAGGACGGTCCGCGGGCCCCGCGGGGGCCTCTTGGCGGCGGAGAACTGTCGGAGCAGCGCTTGCCGTCGTGGTTTTTTTGTCACCACGCGAGGGGGTCTTTCGGTCGCCACGGCGTGAGCGTGCCGTGGAGCAGTGGTTGAGCAAGGAGTTGGTTACCAGCCTGGAACATATCCCTTTCCCTATGCTGGGCATCTCCTCATCACGATGCCAATCTTGGGGATTCCCTGAGTTTTTGAGGGCGAATCCCGAAGATTGTCATCGCCTTTTGGCGTGTTAATCTTAGGGATAGGGATACGTTCGAGGCTGGTAAGTTGGGCCCCTGAAGGTGCTGTGTGCTTCCTCTGGCGCGCCGCGGTCGTGGCCCGGGCCGGACCTCTCTTCCCTGGCATCGCTCGGACGTGTGCATCTTTTTCTCGGCGGGGATTCTCGAGGAGCATCCTGGATCCTCCTGCGACAAAAAACCGCGCACGAGACCGAACAAAACACAGGGAACGGACGTCCGAGCGACGGGGAGCACTTAAATCTTGAGCGCGCGTTTCGATCCTCTGGGCCACGGCGCGCGTTGTGCCCCCCCGCCGCCATACAGTCAGGACGCTGAAATAAGGAACAGTTTGAGCCCTCCTCCTCCTTTTCCTCCTCCTCCTCCCCCTCCTCGCCCTACTCCTTCTCCTCCTCCTCCTCCGCCTCCTCCTCCTTCCCCCTCCTCCTCCTCCTCCTCCTTCTCCTCCTCGTCCTCCTCCTCCTCCTCCTCCCCCCTCCTCCTCCTCGTCCTCCTCCTCCTCCTCCTCCTCCTCCTCCTCCTCCTCCTCCCTCCTCCTCCTCCTCCTGGGGCACGGAGGCGCTTACAGGGCCAAGAAGGGGCTTCGTTCCTTCTTTAGCGTTCCTTCATTCAGCGGCCCAACTGTAACGTAGCGCTCCCCCCCTCCGTAGTGCGCCTCCGGCACTGCCATCGTGATGCTCGCAGGCTGCTGTGGTGCTTGCAGGTTGCTATAAAGTTCACGGCCTAGTGTTGCGTTGACAGGCTCATTGCCCGTGCTCGTAGACATGGTGCTGCGCTCGCGTGCTACTGTCGCACATGCAGGGCCCGGCAGTTGTTGTGCACGCGCGCGGGGTTCTTTCGGTACTCTGGTGCTGGCAGGGTCGCGAGAGTTCTGGCAGTGGCATTGGTAGCAGAAGTAGTGGCAACAGTAGCAGCAATGAAAGCGATATCAGGAGGAGGAGGAGGAGGAGGAGTTGGAGAAGGAGTTGGAGGGTGGAACGGGGTGTCCTTGTCATCGTCGTCGTGGTTGTCTTGTGGTCGTGGTGATCGTTGTTGTGTTTGTCGTGATTGTTGTCGTCGAAATCGCCATGGTCGTCGTGTTGATACTGGTCGTAGCGATAGTCGTCGTCGGCGTGTGGTCGTCGTTGTGACCGTTGTCGTGACAGTCGCAGTCGTCGTAGTATTCGTAATCGTCGTCATTGTCGTCATATTCGTCGTGATCGTCATCGCGGTGGTCATCGTGGTCGTCGTCGTGTGGTCGTCGGGGTCGGAGCCGTAGTAGTCGTCCTGGGTGGCTTCAGCTTCCGGTCGTAATAGTCGATCTTGTTGCTATCGGGACCGTTTTTGAGGCCATCGTCGCCGCGGCCGCGCGCAGCTCGAACAGCTGGCTACGGGTGGCCCCGAGTTGAGATCAAGCGGATTTGTTTGATTTGATGATGGTCGCAGGATCGGGTGTCCAGGCTCGAGGTTCGCAGCGTGACTAACAGGGCGTTATCCGAGAGGCTTGCGCTATTCCGCCGTGTGGTCGCCGCAAGTTCAGCGAATTGCTCACAGGCGCTCCGCGGTACTCGATAGCTACGGAGATGCCGACAGAACTGCGATCGTGTTCTCGCAGTTGTAAAAACGTATCGTGCGTGTTTGCAGGCGCCAGTTTTGCCCGCCCCCTCCTTCGGGCGAAGAGGCGCCCAGACTCTGCGCATAACCCATTTCTACAAGAGAAGTGTAATCAACGCAGGGCTGTGGTGTCCGCAAGCGCTGTGGTGCACCCGCGCGTTGCGGCGTGCGCAGGCGATGCGGTGAACGCGGCTGCTGACGTGCACGCAGGCGCTGTGGCACACGCAAGCACTGTGGTGCACGCGTCAAGCACGCGTCTGAAACAGGCCGTGCGGTACAGTGTTGAGACAACTTTCGCGCTATGCTTTGGTTCTGGAGGCGATAGAAGCAGAGTGCTGTTGTACCCTTTACTGCGCAACGTAAATGCAACCCAGCAGCAGCAAACTCCAGCGCAAAGTCATGCCCGACGGAAAGTGTTGAGGATGCAAACAATGGTGCTGCACGATGGTGCACGTATGCGCTGCGCAGTACACAGGCGATGTGGTGAACGTGGCTGCGGCGGTGCAGTCTGTGCTGCGCACTGTGGTGATTGTTGTGATGCGCGCAGTCGCTGTGGTGCTGGAGCCACTCGGCGGGGCATTACGATATGCCCCCCCCCCGGATCGAAAAAGTGTGGTGAAAAGCAAGTGTGATAAAAAGTGTGATAAACACAAGTGTAATACAACAAACACAAGAGAGATACAAACAACACTGGCTTTTTGTCACAGTTGTTTTTATCGCACCTGTTTTTTGTTATCACACTTGCCCGTCAACGCGCATTGTGGACGCGAGTATTGGAACGTGCTGGCCCCTCCCCCCCGGGGAAAGGGGTATCGCTCGGCGTGCGCAGGGGAGGGAGGCCTGCCCCCGCCTCCTCCAACGTGCTGGTGCTCGCGCGCATGCTCTGGCGATCGCAGCCGACCCCGCCCCGACGCGCCCCTCCCCGCCCTGTGGTACCTTTACCCAGGCCGCCCCCCTTCAATGTCCGTTCATGGGAGGTTGGGTCGGCGACGTCGAAACTGTTTTCCTGCTTGTGGCCCATCTTCCTGCTCCTCCCCGCTCTTCCTCCTCCCCCCCCCCCCTCTTCTCCTCCTCTCCGCCTCGCCTCCACTGAGCAGGGGCGACTCTGGTCCAAACCCGGTCCCAACTGTGTCCCAGATCTGGTCCACATCAGGCCCACACCAGACACCGCTCGGCGACTGCAAGGGTTGTCGCCAGATGCCACGTGGGCTCCCCCGGAGCCCACACCGGACACCGCTCGGTGTTTGAGTAAACGTCGCCAGATGCCA